AACCTCTAAAATTGCGTCTCGGTCAACCGCGATGGAGGGCTTTCATTCTGAAATTCTCTTTCCCTATTAGCAAAATTTCTGGTGAGGATGCCCATCTGCTATTTTCTCGACACGTTAAAATCTACGCTCTGGTTTGTACCGTTATTCCACCTATCACCAATTCTGGCTTATGTCTAAGAAGCTTGATGACATGAGGAATGTTAAAATAGAAAACAATTAACAGGCCATTCTGCCCATTTTTAACAATCAGCACAGCAAAGGCATTTCAGAAGAAACTTACAGGGCGTGTAGGTTGCATGGAGCCATCTTCAGAGACTACAATTCCTGCAGCAGCTCTGATCAACCTAAAATAAAACAAAATACTCTAACACACCAACACACTATTAACTTAGTGTGCACCAACTACACCAGAGGCTAATTTGAAACCGCTGTCCTGTCTTGAGTAAGGACCGATTTGTTCAAACTGACCGAGACGACTACTGGAAATGTTTTTGAAAAAGCCTTCGGAAATCGAGGGATATATGTTTCTCTTCAATATATATCCCAACACCATTTCTTCAACCAATTCCAAATGGCTCTATTCATAACCAGGAAGTCTACCACAGTAAGATCACGAACAAACGGCCTTTTGTGTCGAAGCGGCTCATCAAACAGCAGTTACAAAAAGACGTTTTTGAAGTGAAAATCAGATATTGTCTTGAGAGTTATATTCATCGATAGATTGAAAAAACTGTGATGCCGGTAAAAGAACTGGAAGCATAATTTTCCAGGGTTTTGATTTCGTGTGGAAAAGCTAAGTTACTAACCTCAACGCATGCCAGATGCAAGATTTCTCGTCTAGCACCAACTCAGCCGAACCGTTATCAACTTGCCAAGAGACAACTTGCTCGAAAGTTCTGTGAAAATGAAAAAAAATGTCATTATTTTGTGGGATTTACTTCAGTTTGACAATTGGATTTTGCAAGACCAACCAAGGAAACAAAGATTTAGTTGACAACCAAAACAATCAAAACAAGACAAAACAAAAACCAACTTGCACTAAAGTGAGTATTCATTCTGCTTAATTCAATTGAATTCAATTGATGAGATGCTAACAAGCCGATTCATAGCTCTCCAAAGATCTAATCCCTCAAACTTAAAGTAGAATACCGGAAATCTAAAAGCAAAGCATTAGTTCAATACTTACCTTCCATCAAGGTAATGCCAGGGAAATGCGAGAGCAACATTGAGCAACTCTGGCATCTTGGAACCCTGTAAACAGAACGTATCTTAAGTGTCTGATTCCAAATATCTCAAAAAGAATTCTCCATCATAACCTCAGTCTCATTTCCTTGGTCCCCGAGGTGAGAACCTTCAATGTTACGTCTGTAGAAACCTTTGTTGGGGTATTCTCACAACCTACTTACTAACAAAAATGTAGATATAGTAAGGAGAAGGTGTACATTGATCATTTCTTGATGGAGAATAAGAGTTACACTTTTCCATCCGGGCTGACGTGACACCGTGTACTAAATCACAGCCAACCACAGCAAAAAGTACAACGTTCTTGAAGCATTCTATGTTACTTCTATGTCGCTAGTTGTTGCGCTAGAATTGTTTGGCAGTCCAGCGTAATATTCACGGCGCTGTAGTACGAGCAAGTCTCATTTTTTTCTTTCGCACTACTCTAGCAACGAGAATAGTTTTGTTCGCTTGACAGATTTTCACACCAAATGATTCATTTTGCGGTTCACCGGACACCGGTTTTTCTGCATGACGGGTCAGTTCATTTACCTGTACAGCCATGACTCCCTTCTCATTTGAAAACATGACCAATAGATGAAACAATGAAGAATGGAGACGAGTCACAGCCTCTGCGGTTTGACCCTCCCTAGATATAGAGAAATACGTGTAATTCCATTAAGTAAATTTAGAACACTCCTCGAAACGAACTTAAAGAGGGTGCAGTAAAATACTTTGACTGATCATGACCAGGTTACTAGTTTTTGCTCTTCTTAAAAACTGAAGAGGAAATACTCCCTTCATTTCTGCCTTGTGAGTATTTTGATGTTACCAACATCTTGGGTTTTTGTTTTTGTTCATGCACTTTATGCAGTTGGTGAAGCATAGCATTTAGAGGAAGAACTTTACAGGGTCTAATTTAATTCTCTCTATCTCAGCTCCTGAAAAACGCTCAAGAAGCGACCCCGAAAACATACTACACTCCTGAGGTTGAAACATCATAGTGTCCGTTTTTGTCGGAAGACAACGAAAATCAGGCAACAGATGTAACAGGCTCTTTCTTCATATGCTCAATCTAACTAGAGAGCCCAAACAGTAGGGCGTAAACACGGAAAGATTTCTTATTCTTGATAAAAAAGAGTTTATGTTCGTTTTAGAGTCGTCAAAATTTTAGTACCTTAAAACTGGTCATGATCCAAACTTTAATTTTGCAAAAGTAACAACTCCGTAAAACGCGGTCCATCGAAAAGAGTACCAGGGTAGCTACTTTCAGAACTTAAAAGATACATAACACATGCAACTTACGAGTACAGAGAAATTATGTGGTTCCAGTCCATCAGAGGAAATACGGCACCAAGGAACCTAAAACTGTTCTTGCACACACCATACAGCTAAGAAGAGAGAAAATTATTACAATGTTACACGCTCTTCAAATATGTTTAAGAGCTTTGTTTACTCGAAGACCGACGAAAAGTTTAGAGGTCCTTCAAGCGCTCTCACCGGTCGATAGGTGTATTTAAATGAGGGTATGAAAACACGATTTTGACATTTTAGATTTTGGGAAATATTTTACAAATACAAAAGCAGATTTTATCCTCGTTTGAATCGTAGCCGCATCCAAGAGCTGGAGAGACTTGAGAAAAAACTCGGACGTTATGGAAACGTTTCCTAATTCTCCTCATCTCTTCCGACCCCCTCCCACCGCCTCTTTAGATAATACAGTGTGAACATAGTAAAGGTTTTCTGATGCTCTGATAACTTCGCCCTTCATATGTTTTTGCATCCTGCAAACATCTTTGAAATATCTCCTACTACGAAAGTAGTGCTTATGTGTAACAAGAAAGCATTCTGAGAACTACTTTTTAAAGGGCAAAAACGCAAATTTTCAGAGAAAAAACAACAAACCTCCTGCATAAGTTGCATGTTGTGTAATGTCGGAATGAAGCTCTGCCATGGGAGTTGAAAGAACTTAGAGCGATACACTCTGAGCACGTATTCGGGTATTCCTTCTTTGGTTAAAGATGATACGAAGAAACTCCAAAACATGTTCATCATAGATGATCCGCTGTGAGGAGCTGAAATGTAAAGAAAACAAAACCACTCGGTCAAGAAAGATGCTAAAAGGGCTAACTTCAATTGATTTCGTCCCAGTCTGACTAAGTTAAATAAAAAAACAACAACAAGGCAAAGAGAGAAGACAAGAAGAATAAAAGAAGGAACAAATCATAGCAGAACCAACAAAAAATACAGCAGACCGTACGCTGTAAAAACAGCAACGTCATGTTTGGCCTAACATATTATTATTATTTTTTTTTTTATCCGTTTTACTTTTCTCTATTCTGACCCACCCGTGTTCGCTCTTGGTTTCCTGTTGTCCGTTTTGCATTTTTCTTGAACAAATTTGGAGTATCTTCCAAAGGCGTTAATCGTAATCCTCCAGGAAAAGGTGCTAATAAACGTTTTATTCTTAAACCTTCGTCCACTTTGTCCTATATACATTTAAATCAGCACAGTTTTGCCTATATCATACCATTTAAATGGGTCTGCAGGCAGTTCAATGTATCGGTAAACAAGTTGATCATATCTGCTGCTTGAGGAACTTCACTCTCATTCCAAGGAGCTACTGGTACATTCCTGTAAAACGAGTAGATCAGGTGTAACTGGTCATTCTCAAACCAAAAACGAAAAAACTTATAAAAAAGAAATACCAAACAAAAAAAAAACAAAAACCAAAAACCACATCCGAAGAAGCATTTACATATCAGCAGCAGCTCAAAGGTTTCCAGTGAGAATGGGAAAGTTAAATGATGTTCAAAACATACCCAGGAATAGGAGACTCTTGTGAGCAAATCCATGGCTCAAACACTCTGCAGATCAGCGCCCAGAGTTCTGTAAGAACTACAGAAATAAAATACAGCGATAGGGAATCACATAACTACTTGATCTGCGAGTGTGCATTATGTGGATCATGGGGATTTCGTGGAAATTTTACGATTCCTCCTGATTTTCTTTTCATCCTCGCTTCGCACAATTTATCAGAATTCCCCGAAAATTATTAGTGTCATACCTAATGTTCTTCATGTTTTCTCGAATAGAAGCCCAGGCGCTTATTTATGGTAAGGGCGCCTATTATTCTCCTGTACTGATTCCGTCGTAGTTGAAGCTTAAAAATTTAGGAAGTAACAAAAGAAACAAGTTTTCCTTGCATTCCAACTATTTAAGAAACTGAGGGAGGATGGAGCGCTTATTCGAGAGGGGCGTTTGTTCGATATTGTAGCCTGAGATGGGGGGTGGCTTACTCGGGGGTGGGTGCTTATTAGAGCGTCAGCCCTTATTCGAGGAAATACGGTATCAGCCATTTCTTATAACACAAGGCTTCATACCTTTCTCTAATCCTTGGCCCCGATTGGCATACACAACAGCCGCTCTTCTGACGACAATCTGCTGACACATGAAACCGAGGACAAGAGACAGCTGCTTGATGTATGGCCTCCACATGGTGTAGAGGCCACCAGTCACGTGACCTCCTAGTTCAGCCCGTTGACCGCTGAAGTACTTGGTGAGCCAATCAAGAGTTTCGAGCACCTAAAAGATCGAAGCGAAAGAGGATATTGTAAGAGTTAGAGAAAAGAGTCTTTTTAACTGTTGGAATTTGACACTTATTTGACTCTCCATATCTAAAGTTAGTTGGGAGCAACAAGTGTGTAATGACATCGTCTACTTGATGGTAAATTTTGATATTCCTCCTGCTTATTTGCTTGAACATCAATAACCAAGGAGATATTCAAAGCGATATTCGAACGAGATTTCGGGTTTGAACGCATAACCACAGAGATAACTCATATTAAGAACCATGCTTACTACAAAAGCCAACGGATGTTCTCCAACAGGGAATGAAAATATTTTCAAATTATTTGCCAAAAGGTTGTAATCAAGAAGCAAAACAGAACACAACTATTGTCGTTAACCGTCTAAAGCTCTTCATTAACTATGGAGAATTCACGTTTTCAACGAGTCTCGGTTGTAAGCAGTGATTTGTAAAAAATCATTCAGTGTTTTGAGATGTAAAAATATATCGTAAAAGCTAGGGAAGAAAAGCAACACACGGATCCCGAAAGTCCACAAACCGAAGCTAAATTTTCTATATCAGATTACCAACAAGAATCCTCAAGGATTTTTACCTGTTCATCTCCCAGTACTTCCTTTGACGCGGTGGGAGGCTCCTTTTCATTGGTGGGAACACAGCCAATACAGGACAGAAACTTGTCCCATACATCGAGACAAAGAGTCCGCTTACCTGAACCTTAAAACGAGGTAGAAAACTGTCAGTTCCTATATGCATTCTGCTCCAAACTACAAGTGATAGGTTTAGACAAACGTATCAAGATCAGCAGTGTTACACAGATATAACACCAAATTCTTTAAATATAATTAAAGTACGAATATCCAATCAGATCTTGGGACTTATAGGGTTCTCTCGCACATTTCAACCAGAGGTCCTGGATAGCAATGCGGTGTTGAATTTTGAACATTCACTGAAAACTGAAGCTTTCATCAAAAAGATTGTTTCTAGAGCTGCTATGGAGCTACCACAGTGCTTATAAAATTTCCTAACTGAAAGCCATCAGCGAACGTTATGCCAAGATTTGCCTTCTCGCCGCTTATCACATGCGCTGCAGGCAGTTATCAGGTGTCTGTAAAGCAACATGTAACCTTAATAAAATTTAAAGGTGGTCATGTTATCCAGTTCTTGTACACGAGCATACGCAATCACTGCACTTTTCTTACCTTCACACAGAAGCCTGAGACCATCACTGTATTGCTCCGGAAAATTGTACATCAGAACAATAGACAGATGGCGCAAATACACCTAGATAATTGTTTAACGAGTGAGTATAAGGTTTAGATAGATACCACTTATTTGGTACATTTTGACAAGCAAAACTACCTTATTTAATGAGAAAGTCAGTCTGTGTATCAAAGTTATCAAGTTCATCGGTCCCATCACTGTATCAGTCTGTAAGTCCGTCAGTTTGTCAGTTTTTCAGATCGCCTATCTGTCCATCCAACAAGAAGTGGACCAGTTTCGCCATCTGTCTGTCTCTTACTCCATTAGCTTCTGCGTGTGTCTGTCTATTGTCTAAAAGTCGTGACATCTATCGTTCAGTTCATAAAAAAAAACCAGTGGATCCTCACTGTACCCCATTACGTCTCTTTGTTAACGTTTGAGTGGAAGAAGAAACTCTCAGAAAGGGAGAAATACAGAAAAAATATTAAACTCACCTCTAAAATAGATCTTTTGTTATCGGGAGGTTCATATCCAACACTGCTCAGTGCTTCAAACACTGCGTGTGTGAGGGCTGACCTCTCCATAAGATTGCTGTTTGGTGAGGACAACCACTTACGCATCTCAAACTACAAGACAAAAAACACAAGCTACTGCAAGTGACAGTTAACAGTTGCTTTGCGCGACAAAATCTTACATCATTTGGGAAAAAATAGGAAAACCAAAACTTTGAAGAAAAGAGGGTTCCAGCCTAAAAGTTTTTAAAGTACTAGGTCACTTTTTAAATCATTGGTGCAAAGAGTGGAAAGAAAGCTGACGGCACTCCCGAAACTAGAATCCAGTTGAAATAATGAGTGTGTTGTACTGTTGGAAGTATAAATAAATGAGCTACTGACAAATCGGTTTATTTTACCTTAGTGAGTAACGAGAAAACAAGATCTCCATCAGCCGTTTCTAGGATTCTGCGGTACATGGTGGTAAAGGAATCAGGGTTATCATTAGGGCTAAAAAATGGAACTAACAGCACCGAGATGGAAGTGTGTTCCAAGATGGCTGACAGAAGCTGTTCTGTCTGAGTGGGATTGTTCATAATAAATTCCTGCGGAACAAGCAAAAAACAATAGAAAAAGGATTAAAGATATCGCAGGAAAAGGGGGAAAGGAAAAAGAACTGCTGCAAGTTTGCTACTTTACAAGATTCTGGGAGAAATTCTGAACACGAACAAGAAGGATAATTGTACAGTTCTAGCTTTGAAATTTTTAGTTCTTTACTAGAAACTCTCCTACTCTCTACAAAATATCGGAGAAGCTAGAGAATACAGCAAGCTGAGTGCTGTCGATCACTGACCTTTCCTAGTATCTCAACACAAGATGTAAAAAACTGCACAGTTGGTTGGTAGTTCATAACACTGTCGTCCATTGCTCCGGTAACATGATAAAACAAAGCAGTCCCAATGTCACTGATTATCTCTGAAACATGAAAACAAAAGTCAGCAAAGACAAAAGAGAATGTTAAGGAATGGAAACAATGTACCCTGTCGTAATCTCGGTTCTAGAGCGGGTTAGTTAAGCGCTTGCAAAGGAAAGCAAAAATTACCTTGTACGTTCCTCTCCGAAGAAGACTTTGCTTTGTTTACCAATGACCTTAAAGATAAATCATTTTCAATTTTTTACGTTAAAGTCACAGCGCTACTGTGTCTTAGCAAGATGCCACCATCCAAGAGATGCAAGCATGAAAAAATCGCATTACCGTCATATCTTCAAACCCACCTGAGGTTTTCTAGACTCAGGAGAGAGTGATTGCGATGTATGGCTTTAAAGTGAAAACGTGAGAAGGAAGGTGACTGAGTTTAACCCCACAAAAACTTTACCAGTATTCCGCGACTTTTTAGAAAACAAAAAGATATTAGAGCAATAGAGACCCCAATAAAGGATTACTAAAGGAACATGATGGAAAAATATATATGTATATAAATACTCCTACTCACGTGATAATGCTCTCAATGTAAGCAGCACCTTCACACAAGCGAGCAGGGCATGGTTGGATGAAATTCTGCACAACTTGTTCCTGCTCACGACGATTATCAGCAACCTTTCTGATCATAACTTCATTGGGTCGTTTAGCGAGGAACTATTACAGTAATAACAAGCAAATATAGATAAAAAAGCTTGGCGTTGTGTTGAAGAAATGCGAAGAAGTTCGTACACTCGTTCGTACCCTCGTTTGTACACTTGTTCGTACACTCGTTCGTACCCTCGTTCGTACACTCGTTCATACACTCGTTCGTACCCTCGTTCGTACACTCGTTCGTACACTCGTTCGTACACTCGTTCGTACCCTCGTTTGTACACTCGTTCGTACCCGCGTTCGTACACTCGTTCGTACCCTCGTTCGTACACTCGTTCGTACACTCGTTCGTACACTCGTTCGTACAGTCTTCGATAGTTTGGCATAAAAGTCCGTTATTTTCAATCCGTGTTAATATTCGCTATCTTAGCCATTCCCGTTCCGTTCAGTTGTCTTTTAACCTCTTTGGTACTTATCTACGCAAGCAACCAATTTATCTCAAAGCAAACTACGGTAAAGTGCCCTGACACGGGGAAACATGAGTGATATGAGTTATTTTAAGCTACATTTGATAGGTCGAGAGTGTGGTGTGTGTTCACTGCCAATCACAGCGCGCAGTGATTCAAAACCGATGGAATCCCAAAGTACTTCGACACTTAATTGAAACCTTCTCTACTAAGATAAGGTAGTCAGTTACAGACATTTTAACCTTCCCTCTCCTGCTGGGAAGAAACAAAAGTGATCTGTTACCTTTACGGTGAGAGTGGCAGGCCCTCGACACTGATGTTTGCGACAAGGAACTTGAACTACAACCTGGAGACGGAAAGCGATAAAAAAATTCAGTATTGAAACAAAAATACGAATTTCCAACACCAGTTTTGTAAGGGGCTAATAGGACTTGTACTCTAATCAGTAGCTTTGGAAGCTAATAGGCTGCTGCCAATATTGATAGCAAATCCCTAGGTCTTGACGTCTAACTGAAGTTGTAATCCACTGTATTTATAAAATGAAAACAATGATGTTATCAACAATTCTAAGCTCAAGAATCAACCAGTAACAAGAAGGTAAATCATCACGCCTTACCTGGGACATCTCGTTTGAGTACATTTTAGGTATTAACTCGATATACTCAATGTCCAAGGAAACGTGTTGACCAACAAGTCCACAAAACTGTCTGTAAAATGTACAGAAGATAAGTGGTTTTGCAAGAAGTGATATCTCAATAACAGGATATGGTTTTGAAAGACAAAGTTCTTCGTTTGTCTAAAGGTGTAATGTAAACAGGGTTGTAATAGAAACTACACTCCCAGACGTAATTACTTGGGGTAGTTCTCCAGATCAAGGTCTATGATGTTCTTTCACCCCTCCCCCCCAGCCAATGTTGTTAATTGCAAATGTGTCTATGTGCATCCTTTAGCGGTGTTTGTCGCAGTTTTTGATATATTCCGCATTGGGCGTTTCTCAATAAACAATCATTCCATTCTCACTTGACAGATATGAGCTACTTACAGCTAACTCAAATCCAATGCTCATTCGTGGAGTAATTGCTGAGAAGATATCTATAAATATTGTGGTAACCAAAATCCCAAGGTTCTTAAACAATTCCAAGGAGATGTTCTGCACTTTAGCATAAAAACGAAAAGTTTTCCGATAAAAATAGCGATATTTGCAACCAAACCTTGCATGTGCGACTATTCCCTGTAGTTGACTGTAAACTATGCCCAATAACTTCTGTTTGTTCATCAAAGTCGCATCTGTCATGGAGGGTAAAATGGGTTCTAATCTCTTCACAGGGGGAGGAGGGAGCGGTGCAGGGTGCGTCTTCATCCTTCTAACAATCCTCGAGGCGGCTTGAAAGTAGGAAAGAAAATACACCAACTTGATTAAATCTTACCGTGCATTTAATGCAACCGGAACGACACACAGCCAATTCCAGCTAACATTCGAATATACACAGATACAATTCGTGTCGTTTTTATTTCCATGTCAAATTATCTCAGTGTTGGCGGTGTTGATCTAGTCCGTTTGAAGACCACCTGTTTCTTTTAATAACTGTCCACAGGGCGAGCGGAAATAAAAGCCGGAAAGGGTTTGTCGAACGCGAACTAGAAAAAAAGATTGTGTACAAATTAAGCGGGTGCTAGGTGCTAAAAGGTGCTTGCACATTTGGTACCTGTTTCAGGACTCCTGTCGTTCCACTGACCAGTGGCTTTACTCTCAGGGGGGTTCTTTTGAGGTCCCAGGGCGTGTTTTACCCAACAACGCACAGACTCGGTGATTTCCATATCAATCTTTTTCACGAATATCAAATCAAACCAAGGTTCCTAACAAAACAGGAAAAATAAAACGAATCATTAAAAATAATTGTAATATTCAATGCGATGCTCAATTAAGGTAGATCTGCTTAAAAGTGTGCTACAATTGGAAGGAGAACTTTCGTAATGGTGAATGCTGAGAGTGAAAGGGTTAAGATAATAGTTTACATACCTGTACTGGTTTGAGTAAAGCCTCAAGTCTGACTGCATCATAAGGAGGCGGCAATGACGGTAGGTACAGACTGGGGTCGTGAAGTCTCGGTTCATCCAACCACAACGCCAGTGTTTGATAAAACCTACCATGAGAATATTAACGGTGTGAGAGGCTGATGAGAAATCTTTAATTTTTTATTTAAATTAAGCATGTTTCTTTATTATGAGGCATAAAACTTCATATTCTTGTCCGTTATCTTAAAAATAAATGGTTGAACTGTCAATTGTTGTCTCAGGAGATCAACTCGTATCAACAGGCGATCTATGATAAAGATCTGCGGTATGGTTATTCGTCAAAAAATGAGCCAAATAACTAAATAACTGAATTTAACATTCTGGAAATTCGATAAACACAAATTCAAAATAACAATAATAGTGGAAAAATTTTAACAATCTAGTCTCGTTGGACGTTGGGACAAAATCTTTGGTTTCGTATCTCTCTGAGCGAACAGTTTCATTCCAATTTCCCCCAAATTCCCATAAAGTTTGCGTTATGCTTAGCCCCATTCCCCTCTCTTCCATTCCAATTTTTTTTTCTTTCAACTGAGAAACGAATCAAAACTCGTACATGAGAGTTATTTTATCGTGAACCTCCTTGAACCTACAAAATTGGATGAGACACTAGTGACAAGAGATACTCGGGGTAAAATCACAGTGCTGCGTTACATTCGACTTCCAGAAATGAAACCCAAGCTCAAATAAAGGTAAGAACGAGTTATTTACGCTTCACACATCCCGACTTCACTATACATGTAATTACAACGAAAGCTTTATTGAAAAAACAATTTCTTCGACACCATACCCTGTAAGTTTTTCATGCAATGCTCTAGTTTGTTCAAACTGCTTGCTTATTTCCCTGTCACCATCAGTGACTGCATCATGGTCTGCCCCGGTCTCCACGGATCGATTCCGGTGATGTTCCGCTGTGGCTTGCAGTCTCTGCTTCATTTTTTTTAACATGGAGCTATAACTCTGGCTATCAAAGAAACGATACCCTACACCAGATCGCTGCGCAAGGCTGGAATAAACGAAACACATGTCAGATTTCATCCTTGATCAGAATAGAAACAATTAATAGCGCCTCACTCTTTCTCTTTAAGTTTCCCAAGATGTAAAAAATGAGTAAAGGACACTAACAGCGATTATTCTTAGTACTAGTTTGTTCATTTGCCTTTTTTTCTTTTCGCTCCTAGCCAACTGATCTACCTCAGAAGATGCACTACTCATATCCTAAGCCCGCAAAAAAATATGGGGATTGTTTGAGACTTCATTATTTAGAATTCATTCTTTGATCCTTGTCAATGCACAGCATACACAGGTTACATAAACGTCTCTAAAACGTTATAGCAACACAACTATCGCATCACATGATTGATAAATTTTATTGTTGTATATTTGGACCATCGCTTTGACTGTGGAAAACCAGAACCAAGTCAACCATAAGGTAATCAGAGTCAAGGGAAATGTTTCAGGAGCCAAGAGACAATAAAAACTCATTGCAGATATATGAACACGAGGAAAACATGAGTATCAGAGTCGTGAGTAGGTTTTATTGGTGCATTTGATTCATTAAGAAGCTGACGCAAGTTCTTTAAGCCAATCCGAGGCCACCGAGTGGCGCAAGAACGATGCAACCCCGGCTTAATTTCGAAATTACGATAAGTTCCCTTCCCTTCCCTTCCCAACTTCTGTTCATACCAAACCCTTAGGCACTCACCCAGGTTCAGTGACCGGTCTCTGGAGATAAAGACTAAAAAATCGTTGCCAAATCAAAGGCAGCATGGGATGATCAACCTCTGTCACCATTGCTTGATTAGCCCAACGATAGATGGAAAGACTGGACACGAGAGGCGTCCACGACAATTTCATCTTCTTCACTACTTTCTGAAATGGATATAAAAAAAAAGTAGTAGAAGCCATAAAAAAATTATGAAGTTATGCTACTTGTTTGATTTACTTGTTTGCTCCTCATTGAGAGATGGTTACAGTGTGAAATAGGAATATCACTAAGCACAGAACATTTCAAACAAAATTCTTCAATGCTTCATGAAAAAGATTTTCCAGATACACCCAATTAAGTTCTTCTTCATAACAACCATTTGCCTCGCTCTGGTGGGTGAGTTTCGCGCGCTCAGGTGAGCGCAGTTATCTGAGTTCGAATCATGGACCTGTTGTAAAATGTGTGCTGTTGATTCCGTATCCTTGCTGCGAGGTTCTTTCCCCGATTTTACCTCATTTTTTGTACACAACAAAACCCATCAATTCAAACTTCAGTGCGACTTGGAATCAATGGAAACAGAGCCACCCAGAAGTTGTGCCACTGATAAAATCAAAACTATTAACTCACGAGATTTCTTTCTAGAACCTTCCTTAAGGAGAGTAAGTAGGTAAACTTATACAACTTCATTAGCATCACCTTCAACACTGCATCAACTGTCGCATCTGGTTTGTTCAGCAGCCTTTTATTTATTTCGACAGACAGTCCACAGTTCTCTTCCATCTGAGTTTCCATGCACAGTACACAATAAGCATAGTAACTGTAATCTGGAGAGGCCTTTAAACAGGAAAAATAAAAATAAAATTTCGAGATTCACTAACACGTGCATGTTTAATCATACCCCTAAATCTCCAGTTACCTACATCTAAAAAGAACTTAAAACTACTATGCTACACTACGCTGTCAAGTTTATTCCACCTTAATTTCCCACAGCACAGGAGGAGCAGTACTACTTGAAGTCACCCATGAGAAAAGAGACGCTATCACTCCTTGACTTCCGGTTTCTCTGAGCAGCACCTTAAAAAAATGTGAAAAAAAAAAAACATGTAGATCATGTTCTCCAGTTATTCGGTTCTAGGCAATATGCTCGGAATTATTATTCATCACTTGGATGGTTTATTTGGATCCAATATAATGACCAGCTCCCAGTTGGCTTGTTAGCTCAGTTGGTAGAGCGCTGCACCCGTATCACAGAGGTCATGGGTTCAAATCCCATACGGCCTGAAAATTTTTTTTCAGGTCTTATTTCAATTACTAGTTCAGTAGTGTTCATAGCTGCGAGGATCTCTATTACTCGTTTCTTCACCGCAGTGCACATATATGATCTTCATATATCTACAATCATTATGCTAAGAATTACTTACATACAGAGCAATTTTTCAATCTGGTATCGTAGACCTTAGACAAGAAGTTATGCATCTGATTGACTAAGACAGAGGCGTATTTTTTTTAACCAATCGAAGAACTCCGTGAACGAAAACCAAAGCAATTTCGGATTGCTATTCACACTCGGTGGAAAATTATGGAAACAAACGAGTCGTAAAATTTATCATTCGTACTTGGTGAATAACTTATAAGAGAATCTTCTCAACAACTACTGGAGCATTATAAGTAGATAATTTATGACAAAAACACTCTTGTATCAAAACGTGCGACAATAACTCTACAGCAAATCGAACAATAATTTTAGTCTGACAAGCAACTATTCACCTGACTCAAAAGTTGATCCACACCCAGCATGCCAAAACATTAGTTACGTAATGCAGCACTTGCGTTTTTCCAAAACCATCTTCACCCGACAATTTAACTATATACAGGTGACTATTTCGAATTTGGTAAACTATCTTCTAACCAACAAATCTGGTGCAACACCACACAAACAGTTTCGATTCTACACACACCTTGTAAGCATCCATAAGGTGGGTTTGTATCACGGAAAGGCTGCCTTCAATTCTCAAAGCTATTTTGATCAGGTTATCAATAAGAAACTGTACACTAACATCTCTGAAAAAAAATCAGCATGTGATTCGTACACATTCAAGTAACCTATAACACAATCACAACTTCATTTTCAAAACTCATTCATAATCTTGAGCTTTCCAAAAAGTAGACAATTCAAGAGCTTCTTGCCCTTCCCTCCCCCCCACCCCTCCACCCGCTGATTCATACAAATACTTAAGCATTAATGGGGTTTATGATTCTATCTTAATGCTGTTTGCTATTTAACAATCAGATTATGAGCTCAAAATTGCTTTTGCGTGCTAGACGATTAGGGGGAAGCCTGAATCAAGTATCACGCAAAGAAATCGAGAGCACATGATCTTATCGTTTTCGTATAAATTTACCCGCAAGACAGGCTCATATTTGTATCGAATAAAGATACAAATAAGTCACGTTACGTGCGAAAAACTACCCCACAAATATAGATAGTGAATAGCACAGCCAATAAGATTGCAGCATTTTTGATAGAACGCTTGTACATTTATACAAATTTTAAATAACTATCCTTTTAGCCGTTTCTACTTTTCAAAACCAGTGTTTGCATGCTGTAGCTACACTGTTCCTGCTACTACATTGATTACCATCACTGACCTGTACCAGTATGGCAGCGTGCACAACGTAAGTAACCAGAATTCCACCACACTTATTGAGCCAACCATACCAGGAGCTTGAAACTTCTGAACATGGCCCTGTACAGAGAAGGAAAGGTTACAAACATTTGTTTCTCCATTAAGCGCTAGAATTCCAAATCACAGTGCATTTCAACTAAGTGGCGTGAAGCCAAAAAGAGAGCATTGGCAATAAAGCGTCACCGTGAGCCGATGAGGGAAAAGCTGTGGACTGCCAGAAGCGCGAGAGAAACACGAATGACCAAGCACGATTGGTTTTCGTCTTGTATCTGATTGATTGATTTTAATAGTGACTGGCTGACGATCTTGCACTATAACATTCCATGTCATAAAAATCATCATTACGGGATTTATCATTCTGTACCGCTCATTACGTCAGCTTTTAAAATTTGCTACGGTGGTTTATCTACCTCCAACGACTTCTAAATCGATATTCCATTTTTACCTGAATAATTCCCACCAGCCTCTTACAGTACGGGCCCACAGTGGACGCTTGAAGTAGTTTTTCAGCATAACCTGCGTTGTCATTGTCAAGTTGGCTCAAACGATGGATTGCTGTCACAAACCTGTGAATGTTAATCACTCAAATTGATATTGACAACAATACATGATTCTAACCCTTTAAACACTAACATCAGTATCTTTATTCTCCAAACTCTTCGTTATACACTCCCCTTGGTACTGACCAGGAGAGTTTGTTTAACAATCAAAGCCTCTTAGGTTGGCGATCATTTCCTTTATTCTTATGATCCTATTGAATGATTAAGCAATATTTCTGTAAGGGAAAAAAAATAGAAGCTGGTCACTCTTTGGGTTTAAAGGGTTTTGACCTGGATGATCGAAATTAGAAATTTCACTTAAAAAAAGAATGATAAATAGTCAAACCACAGAATAGCTCTCAATACCTTGCTTCCTGTGTAAGTTTCTCATGGCAACCAAAAAACATGGGTGTCACATTCGCAATAATCCTCAGCGCTGCATCAAAACACCTCTCATTTAATATGACGGTTAAGTAATCCAGACCCTCACCCAAAAAGAGATCACGACTGTAAAATAAAGAAGAAAAAAATTGAGTACAACGTTTGGCGACAATTTGAGAAGCTTGTGCTATACAGCCGGCTCCTTTAAAAGAGGAGAGGAAGCGACGAAAAGTGGAAGTAGCGTGGATCACTGGCTTGGGGTGCTCAATTTCAGATCAGGAGGTGAGAGGTTCTGATCCCTCACTCTGTCCTTCATCAGGATATATCTGAGGAAATAAACTCCCCTGCTATGGTTTGTTAATAGCCGACTAAATTATCTGACACCTGAGTTGGAAATTTTGACAAAGCAATTTTCCTTCTATTCAATCTATATTTTTAGTACAGGAGTTTCAAATACGTCGCTGAGTAAACGTTACTTCAATCTTGTACTTACCTGGTACCAATAGTAGTCATTGCTACCGCAGCATAACTAGCAAGTTGTCCACTGGCCTTAATAGCATGAGTCATACTTGAAAGGGAACTCTCATTAGGAAGCACAAGTGTTTCTTTTGACAACGACTTCACGAGGCTCGCAAAACCTGGTCCTCCTTCTTCACTTGCTGTTAACACAAATAGAGAAGGCTTTCAGGACATCTAAAAGCTTGAAATTAAACATGCATACGGTCTCAAGAGAGTTAAGGATTTTCCTAGTCATAATCCTATGCAAGTTACATAGCTACGTGGGTACCTCGGAGAAAGGTTATAAAAGATGATGTAGATTGATGTTTAACACGTTGGGTCCGAAATCAGATAGGGTCTCAAACACTCTTTCTACGCAGGGAGTGAAATCGATTATACTAGCAAATACAACTTTATATCTCGGATTCAGGGAAGGAAAAATTTCATTTTTTGTCTTAACGAGGAGTGGGTTAAACACAACGTACTACACAGAACCAATTAAGTATTCCACGAGTGTCCCTCATTCCTTCTAAGATCGTCAGAGAAATAAAGTTCACAGATAACACTGTCCTTTCAAGTTATTCTCGAGACGAAATTTATTCTCCATTATAAATTGCTAAGTCACCTTCTAACTCATCTTCATTTGGAAGTCGCTGAGTGAACTGCATGACTGGTGTTGGTAGATCAGCTGGGTGAAGCCTTAGAGAGAGCATGACTTCCCACAGCCAGTCATACAGCTGCTGCTCATAATTTGGCTGCATCAGTCGATTGTACGACGTTGTAGCAATCAGTGTCACCTAACAAAAGAAATAACTCTCGCATCATACCATTCCACCAGGGGTATACAAAACAAATGGAGATGAATTCGGGTGATATCCAAAACACCAATCAGCAAATAAAAAGCTGCCTTTTCCAGTAATGTGCGCGAATAATATTATGTACAGCCACGAAACGCCTAAACAGTGTAGAATGTCACAAAGAAAAGTTCAAGACGTATGAGTAAACTGCTCAACAGACTGATCAAATTCAAACTTCACGCTGCCACAAAAAGACAGCGCACAACGTAATAAGATATGTTTCATACAACTTTCTTGGTATCATAGCTCATTGGTGACTGGCAGTATGCAGTCAGAACATTACGATCCACAATGGGAGCACTACATTGCGAGATAAATGACACTTTACATATCAAGATCTTTGGCTTTTAAAAACCTGTTTAAGAAGTCCAGTGTCTTCTTTAAATGCCTCATGTGATATTCCTCCTGGCATTTTGGGTAAACGAAGCGCTGACACCTCCACTAGTGACACTGCCACAGCCCTGTGCCAGCACTGGTGCAAAAACAGTTTATCACCCTCTCCTGACTAGCAAAAGAAAGACGTAAACAATAGAGCAATTCTTCAATTGAGTGTCGAAAGTAATCAGGGATTGCACCGGTTTTGCTTTACTTCGCTCTGTGATTGGTCCAGGAAACTGCCACCAGTCTTTCAACCAATCAGATGCAAAAAATGACTTGGACGCCCGCGTTTTCCCGCGCTTTAGGCAATTTGGTTGGTTTAACTTTGAGTTCTGATTGGCTCTTAAAGATATTTTTCTTTCTTCTTGTCGGCCGTTGTGATTGCTTTGCTTTTGCTTTGACTATTGGTTCATTTATAATCATGTTAACTTTTATGATTGCTGTAAAAGTAGCTGGTTTGTTTTCTTTTGATTCCTTCTTCATAATTATTACCTGCAATCAACAATTATCATGCGAAGTGGAGGTAAATATCCGCCACTTTCGCAAACACTAAGGTGAATAATTATTTTAGTAAGTACCACGCAGGAACCAAAATATTAAATTACTTCTGTCAATAAACGAGAAAATAGTGCGAAGTTGAACATTTGACTTTCAAGTTTGGCTCTTTCACTGCTTGGAGACGAAGGTACAGACTAATCAACTTCGAACTGGCGAATTAAAGGGCACGAAAAACGAATAAAGCCGTTATCTACTGTATGTTCAATGGAACTTCACAATAGTTGCCGCAAAACGACTTACAGTGGAGTGAATTAAGGTTAACTTTTACTCATAGACAGTATCATGCAGTACAAAACAAGACTCTGTTTCTACAAACCTCTCCCATTTGTCCCCAGTTTAAGTTTGAAATAATATAACGCGCAAGCTGATTTTCTGGAGAGGACAAATCAGCTTTCAACAACCAGGATTTAATGCAGTCCATGTTCCTGTATGTTGGATGCCACAGATGAACTGATAAACCACTGAACAGGTAGACACAAGCCTGAGAAAAATACAAGTGATGACACCATTTTGTTGTGCATTTGCTCGCCAATAGACAACATATGATATAACTATAGTAAGAACCGAAAAAGGCATGTGAGAGAGAAGTAAGTGTCACAACTGTTCCTGAGTTCTGAGCTGCTACCAGTACCCTCCATCACGAGCGTTTCTCCGCCCGCGTGAACGTTTGGGGCCTTGGGAAGCACTAACCAGCGAGACGTCTGCAAGTGGTCTGGCACTATTATTGGTCCCAGATCCCTCGAAGACCTCTCGCTGGCTCGTTTTGCTCAAGCTTTTTAAAAACTTACCCGCGACAAAGAAAAGCTTGTGCCGCACTGCTAATAACGATCATCAATCATTTCACACAAAATTTCCATAATTACTACACAACGTAATGCTGCCATTCAAATTTTTTTAAAATCAAGTGAGAATATTTAGCCGTATGACGTGTGGGAATCTCACGCAGTGCATATGGGTCTATTTGGTTAAAGATCACTTCCAAAGCTTACTTCTCTGGTACTAGTCGCATCATTCTGAAACTGTGAGACACAATACTTGGTCAGTGTTTACCTTCCCAATAATATCCAGTGTGGCACTGACATTCTCAAGCAAAACCGATATCACAAAGGGATGGACACTAGAAATGGTTCCCAGAAGATGTCTTCCAGTCTTAGAAGATGACTCCCTGGTTTGACTGGCTATGAAGGAAACCTTTAATAAGAAAAAGACATCAGTCAAGGGCAGTTTCTTTACAGAATCCTTTGCTACTGTCCTACATTGCACATTTCCTAATAACTTTGTGATAAGACTGTGTAATATCAACTAGAAGGGAAAACTCTCAACTCAGAGTAATCGGTGAGGTAGCCAGGATTTTTTAAAGGAGGGGAGGGGGAGGGAGGTTACACTGTGTCACAACCAGACTACTTGGTACCCAACTG